TTCAATAGCAACATAAACACAGTCCATGGTTAGTTAATAGAGGAAAACCTTTAAAATCACTTGAGACGACCTCGTTCAAAGACGAATTACCGCAGGTGATGCAATACATTTACTTTAGTACAATATGTTCAATGTTGAGATGCAAATTGAGATGACACTGCGTCGCCGTAATAATATGTGTCATCGACTGAAAGATAGAACAAGTCCCTGGTAGTTTTCAGAGCTCAATAATTATTCTATAACGAACGAATGGGGAAATAACGTTCATTTATATTGTCTTATTCGATGCTTTTTTATGGAATAGGAGGCAAACGAGCAGGCGGATCACCTGGTGGTAAGCGATCAGCGCCGCCCATGGACATCCGCAACACCAGAGAAGTAACATGTGCGTTGACGGCCTTTTAAAAAGGTTCGGAAATACCGCCGAAGACAGATCATTCTAGAGTTTTGCTGTGCGAGGCAGAAAGCAACGTGTTAAGCGCGCAGTTGTGGCCTGCCAACCATCTATATGATGGGTGGTACCGGTAAGTATGGCTAAGTGGTGATTTGTAATTGTGTAGCCTATTAACTGAATTTAATCAACTAATTAGTAAATTAATTACACTGAAGAGATTGACTGGACTATTGGACATGCCTCATATTTTCCAATTGAAAAACATGCCTTTCCGTTTCATCTTCTGTGAAACGTTATAACTGTTACAATGTTACAATCAAGTGGTTAAGAGGAGAATTTATAAGAAAGAAATGGGGTGTACGGATATAAAATCCTTCGATACTCTCAACAGTTTGTGATCACAGCGTAACACTTGAACCTGACCTGACCTAAAGATATCCCAAAGTAATGAAGATTTTAACTGCATTGGAGTTTTACTCTATAATAGAGTAAGTAACAAACAAAAGTAAGGACCTTATTTTTAGTATTAAACACGTTTGTAGACGTTTTTTAAAGGACACGCGTCATTAATACGCATCTGATTTGGTGCGTTAAGATAAATTCATTACAATAAGTCGGTTAATGCATATTTATAGCTGTTGTAAATCAATTCCGATATCATTTTAAGTACCTACTTAGCTAAGTGATAAGTGTTTGCTTATCTTATTCATTACTAGCTGTTGCCCGCGACTTCAACCGCAAAGAATAAGAATTTTAGGACATAATTTTTTTTATAATAACTATCGTGAGACATACTAAATTAACTAAAAATCGCGAGTTATTCACGTGAATATACTGAGAAAAGCTCTACTAGTTTCGAACCACAGAGGGGTTCTTCCTCATGAGCAGAGTGCGCGGTCGCTACACCGAGTCGAGCGCCAACGTTGGCCAGTAGGCTGCGCGACATCGCATAACTTTTGTTTCAATTTTCCAAAATAAAAGTGAAAATGTTATTAAAAAAAATTTTGGTATATACATATTCATATAGGCATGTATTAAAATGTGGTTGTTTTAATATTACAAAAAACACTTCAAATTTTTTTATCTGTTTAGATTAAGTTTAATTGTTTCGTTAAAGATATGGATGAATGGCGGTTACTAGGTTTCCAAACTATCAAATTCATATTTCTTACTAACGAAAGGTATCATAATAAATTTTTAGCAATACGAAACGCACTTACAGATATAAATACTAGTCTCCCTAACTTCTATTTATGTCTAAGTTACAAAATAAACAACTTTCTACTTTGTTATTTGTTATGCGGCGAAATATAAATGTATCAGTTCAGTATACATTCATTCATAATTCTATTTTAAAACTAGTGTGTTACAAGCTGAAAATTTTATTGCATAGCAAGCATACAGTAATAAAACGTACTTGTTAGTGTTTCACGTCAATGTACATTAATTTTATTTATTTGTAACTGTTCATAAAGTTTCCGCAGCTAATTTTGATTTTACTTCTGTGTATTTATATAAATGAATCTCTTTTTCCCTAGGTCACGGCATCACACGTGAATGGCTGAACCGATTTTACTAATTCTTTTGTTTTTGTTTTATTTGTTATTATTAGGACAAGGTTCTTGTGTAAGAAATAAAGAGTTATTTCTTGATTATAGGGCGGTACGAAGTTCGACGGGTCAACTAGTATACAATACAAATGCAGTAGTACAATACAATCTTTCTTGCTGCAGAAATGCAGGCCGCATAGCTCGCCATGCTAACATCAACGACATCATTCGTGTTATTGCCTCAGCCAGCCGTATTAGAACCTAAATATTGAAACACTTGCACACAGTGCACATTCTGTTTATAGTGAAATTGCCCGTAGGCTAATCGACTCTACTCGTGACCAGAGGGCTGGCTATTTCTTTGGACAGAAAATAAGCATTGCAATTAAATGGCAATGAAAATTTAGTTCTGTTTTCTTCTTTTTTTTTAATTTACTTACTTAGTTAATTTTAAATTGTACATAATATTTATTATTTAACACAATTACTATCATCATCATCATCAACAGCCGGAAGACGTCCACTGCTGGACAAAGGCCTCCCCCTTAGCCCTCCACGTCGAACGACAACTCGCCACCCGCATCCACTGGCTCCCCGCAACTCTGGCGATGTCGTCGGTCCACCTAGCGGGAGGTCTGCCCACGCTTCGTCTTCCGGTCCGTGGTCTCCACTCAAGGACTTTCCTGGCCCATCTGCCGTCAGTCCTTCGAGCGACGTGGCCTGCCCATTGCCACTTCAGTCTGCAGATTTTGCGAGCTATGTCGGTAACTCTTGTTCTTTGGCGAATCTCCATATTTCGGACTTTGTCGCGCAAAGAAACCCCGAGCATAGCTCTCTCCATCGCACGCTGAGCGACTTTGAGCTTCTCCAGAAGGCCAGAGGTCAGGGACCACGTCTCGGTACCATACGTCATCACCGGCAACACACACTGGTTGAACATCCTGGTCTTTAGGCACTGAGGGATTTTCGATGAGAAGATTTCGCGTAACTTCCCGAACGCTGCCCATCCAAGTTGGATTCTTCGGGCGACCTCTTTGTCGAAATTGGACCTACCTAGCTGTATAATCTGCCCTAAGTATGTGTAGTGGTCTACAACTTCGAGGATATCGTTCCCAACGATGACCGGTACAGGTGCAACATGGACGTTTGACATGATTTTGGTCTTGTCCATGTTCATTTTAAGACCCACCTGTTGGGAGACGATATCGAGGTCGCTGAGCATGGTGTTTAAATCCTCCAGCGACTCCGCCATGATGACTACATCATCGGCGAAGCGGAGGTGTGTGATGTATTCGCCATTGATATTGATGCCCAGTCCACTCCAGTTTAAAAGCTTGAAAACGTCCTCCAATGCGTTGGTGAACAGTTTCGGAGAAATCACGTCTCCCTGTCTCACGCCTTTCTGCAGTTGGATTGGTTCCGTGCTATCTTCCTGGAGTCGGATGCGCATGGTGGCGTTTCTATACAAACACTTTAGCACCTCGATATATCTGTAGTCGATATGGCATCGCTGGAGAGACTGCAGCAGTGCTAGCCAAATGCCATTTAGCGCTTGTCTACATGTAGAGTAGAAAACCAAATTATATGGAATTGACGTAAATTTTGACACTTGTCAGTGTCATCCCCATACATTTTGATATCTACTCTCACTGTAGACAAGCGCTAAAGTGGCTTTTGGCTAGAGGCCCAGCACCGCCCAGGTCTCGATCGAATCAAAGGCTTTTTCATAGTCCACAAACGCCAAGCATAGTGGCAAGTTATACTCCTCAGTCTTCTGTATAACTTGCCGCAGCGTATGAATGTGGTCTATGGTGCTAAAGCCTTTCCGGAACCCGGCTTGTTCGGGAGGCTGGAAGTCATCAAACCTGCGTTCCAGACGGTTCGTGATAACCCTAGAAAACAGCTTATATACATGGCTCAGAAGCGAGATGGGTCTATAGTTCTTCAACAAAGAGTTGTCACCCTTCTTACAATTACTATACAATTAATTAAAGTAATATTATGAGAATACAAATGATGTCAAAACTAGAAGCTTTTAAATGTTTATTTGCAATATAAGAATCTAAAACATAGTTCAAAAGCCAGCCCCTTTATATACTACTGCAACAGTAAGACAGTATACTATGTATTGTCCTATATTAATTTTGATAATTAGAGCAAGTTCTGATAAAAACATTACTAAGAAAATTAAGATGTTTAAAGATCTATTCTTTAGGATGACTAATTTAAAGAGATAAGATTATGACCTCACCCATCAAAATGCTATATGACCTAATGACTAAGATAATGGAAAAATAATAATGCTCACATTAAGTTTTTCAAATGTTAGAAAACTATTTCGTGTGAAGATTGTTCATGTAACTTTTTTAAACCTTAATTAATATACATGACATATGACTACCAAGTTAATATAATCGATTAGTTGTTTACATGAATTTGAACTTGAAAACGTATATGAAAAACTGCTGCATCAAGTCAGTGCATGTGATCAGTAGACAGATGCATATTGAAGCAGTCAATGTCATAACCATTACCAATGAAGCACTGATTTCTAAAGTAAACAAGATTAGTTTACTTACCTATGTAAACGTAATACCATGCAATATTTAGGTCAATAAGTCAGTAGAATGCTAGTAATATTTCATTCTTAAGTAATATAGGTTTCTTAGCTTTAGAGTGAAATATATTTTGTCAACAGTCTAAGCTTTCCATTGGTGTTAGAAATGTTAACTAAGGGACTGCGCATTTAACAGCCGACAGACTACAGCCCTCTTATATACACCTGAATCTTTTAAACTGCAACATCACTCAAGTTGAGCATAGACAGAGCTGCAGACAACCTAAATTATTATTGGGGCTCCGGCTAAAAGCAGGAGTACGAACTGGTTGGTTTTAAGTCAGTAAATCTGACTCTCCGTCGCCTCAACCAAGGCGAAAGAAGTCATAGGATAATTTTCCTCGCTTAAAAGACAAGCATAGAGATTATGGAGAACCATTTTATGTAGAGGAGATTGTTAATCCAGCAGTACTTTGATTTGCAACAAATGTTTACTCACCTATCAAGCCAGCGACAATAGCTTTAGGCACAGCTACTTCAATCATATTTATTCTTGCAGTTTTTACTTTCTTTACTTCTTCCTCTTCCTCATCTTTTTTAAATACATAATACACTACAAACGCACTCACTGTCACCAGTGATAGGCCCAAGGCCACAGGCACAATAAGTTTGTTGTGCATTTTCTGAAACAAAAAAATAACACAAGCTTAGATTTATCTTATTTTTATTTTGTTTGACAGTCATTGTGGGAGGAATTTGTTCAGTAAGTAGTAGATGTCTTATGATACCTATTGTGTTAAGGATCATATATGTTTATTTTGTTATTATTGTATGTCTCTATTGTCAATCTTTTTGTTCATGTGTTATGTATTTATACCATGAAAAAACAATGTGGCTAATGTTTTATTTCATTATTATTTAGTGCATCATCAATAAACACAATCACAAATTCACAATTTTGTCGCCCTAGGCACAGAATACTACCCTAGGACAAAAGCCTCTCTTCCCTTCTTCCCTCTCATACCCCTCTGCGCAGTTTTGTACAAAATAAAAATAAACATAAACTAAATATCAATAATTTTGACAATGCTCGATTGTAATTTATATTAAAGTTCAAAGTTAAGTCCAATGACTACTGGTAAGCAGCTGCAATGTAAAACAAAAGTAAATATATCGGCAATAGAACTTTTGTGCAAACAACAATTAATATAATAGGTAGCACCCTCAACGTACTCGATAACGTGTTCAAGGGAAAGTTGAAGAAAACATCACAGATAAATCACCACCATGCTTATATGTATCATCAAAAATATGCTGATCCACAAATTACCTTGCACCGATGCCGATTTTACATAAAACAATCTATTAGCAGCTATGACATAATATCGAGAGTAAAAATTACTTCACAAGTAATATGATACTTTGTCGCACAGAACAATTATATCATTTACTTACCCACAACCTTCAACACCTGCTAAAAATAAGTTGCACCAACACAATAACACACTTTGAAGCAATTTTTCACGTGTATTATTATCTCAACAAACAATCACCACGGGCATTTTCGACAGAAGAAAATATTTTTTATTCTGTGAGTGTGAACTGTGAACAAACTGCATGAATGAAATATACACCAAAATATGAAGTTGAACGAATGGCAATGAGCGACTGAATGAGTTGAGCTTACAGTGTTACCAATTACTTACATCGAAGAAAATGGTAGAATTCTCCTGTACCTATCGGTTAGAATCCCTAAAAATTAAACATTTCCAAATCACTAATCATCAATCATCCATCCAACATAATTATGATAATATAAACCATATTAATTGTTTACAGACTTCATTCATATTATGAAAACAAATAACCACATACGCAACATCGACGTTGTATAAGGTAATAGATTAAAGCTCAATACAGGTACACCTTTTTGGACCACAAAATAAAATTGTATATAACAAATATGAGTTATGACATGACTCAATTGAATAAACAAAAAATGACATTCAATGTTGACGATTCTGATCCCATTTATACATTTATTACACTCTTTCCATTTATATCAAGATTTAACTAAAGGTTTGTGTAAATTCAATAATAAAATAGATACTTAATTGATAATGTTTTTAAAAATCTACACAATATGATGCAGAAAAGTAGAAAGACATAAATCTGTTTTGTAATACAAATATGTAATCTACATATTTTACTACAATTTTTTCTTATTGTCAGTCATTTCAAATATAAATACGTAGGTATGTATATATAAATAAGAAAATATTAATTTTATTGGACGAGTAGGTAGTTAATAGCAATTTTTTCATGGTCTCTCTCTCCATGTTCAATTTCGGCTGATAATAAAATGTATTTTCATCCAACGAATATGATCGTGTTGCGTTGGAAAAGTTTAAGGGAACTTTTCTTCTCAGGGCGTGCAGATTATGATATATTTAATTTCTTACGAGTTATTTAAAAAAGCATTTTAAAAAAAGGCGAATTCAGCTTCATATATCGTCATCTACCTACACTAAAATGGTGCCTATAATTTTGTACTAGGATCTGATTTAAATCAATCGCTTACTATTAAACCTTTGAATTATCTACCTACTAGAATATATTTTTCGGCACTTAATTAATCAACAGCCTATTAGTTGGGCAATAGGCTGTTGAGCAAAGCCTTTTCTTACACGAAGAAGGTTTGAGCCACGTTTGAGCATTAATCACCACGCTTGCTCATTGCGGGTTAGCGATTTCAAACTTATAATTAGAATAAGCCAGGTTTCCTCACGATGTTTTCTTTAACCGTTTGTCAGTGGTGTCTAAATGATCCTAGAAAGTACATATAACTCGGAAGAAGTCACACACATGGGAACTTGCCGTTGGTAGGTTTCGAACCCGCACTCTCATGTATGAGAAACGGGCGTCTTAACTTTTGGGCCATCACGACATTTTACGGCACTTAATCACTAGTAATTAACTCGTCGAGTACCGGTTTTATAGACACAATTAAAGAACAATAGGTCGCGGTCACCGGTGACCGCTTGGTGTTTGACAGTTTAATGAATTAAAAAATCTGTTAATATTTTAAATGAACTGGATATCTAATTAATGATATTTTATCATAGCATTTAACTTAGGAATTTCATCATTACCTATACTATAAAATACTCTACGTTCAATCATGTATGTGGAAAGTAACCGCAGGTAATGATAAACAAACTGTATAAGCAATCGCGTGACTGTGATAGCACGAACTTATTCCATGAACCGTCAAGTTGTAATAGCATGGTTCACTGTTCATAACTCAATTTTCATCGAATAATTGTCCACACTCGCCCTTTCCCACAAATAAAATCTAATGACTCCTATTAACTTTAGATATTAACTATTTCTTCCAGATTTTTATTTTTATGTGGAACATGGCACACATTTGATGTAATCACTTTTGGATAATTAATTATTTTACAATAACAAAATGACTTGGGACATCACTTTAGGTAAGAATGAAAATAATTTCACATAAAAAATAGACACATTTTTTATGCCAACATATTAACGTTCTGCAAAATATTTCCGACTGAAAGTAGGTCAACAAGGCGATAGGTACGAAGGATATACGAATAATAAAGTAATAAATAAACGTTCAACTATGTTTTTGCATCGACACGACCTTTGCCATTTTTTCATGTCTTTCATTTTGATGTCGTAAATAAATGATTCGCTCGTTCCGATTGCTGATTTTCAGGGGTAACCACGCTGTTATGTTTCTTTTAAAATTAATTTCTTAAATTTTTAAATTTAATAAAAACTTCAAGTAAATATAGATTGATAATTAATATGGTTTTCAGAATCTGTTTAAGATTTAATGTATGTACCTATTACAAATCAGTTAAAGATAAGATTCACTTTTCAGCTTAAAACTACAAAATATGTAAATAGAAAAAGTGTCGTGAGACATACTAAATAAATTATTATGTTTTCTTATTCTCATTTTATTATGAATATAAGCCTCTAGCATGGCTTGAAACTAGTCGAGTTCCTCGTCAAATAATTACGTGAGTAAGCCGAAAACATAATAATTTAATTTTTGATTTATAGTAAAAACCTGGTCAAATTTTTTGAAATCCACGATGTTGGGTTGTTACTTTACTCGTTACATTTCAATTTTCATTATCAAAATGTCCAATATTTAAAACAATGTCCTGAATAAAAAACTATGCGATATGACCACACTAAACAGACAGCGAGCGTGCGCCTCAATAAAGCGTAATATGGTTGGATTTGTCATATTTTTTTATTGTCCCCGGTCCCAACAATCACGAAAGCTCGGCGATTTGAAAAAGCGAGTCTAGTCGGCAGTATACACCGGTGTAGACAACAAACTAACATGCAGAGACCATACACGCGTCGGTACCTCGCCCCCAATAATATGAGAGAGGCTTTCCATGGCGGTAAAATTTCGAAAAATACGTCTACGTATTTTTAAATTGATGGCATAATCAACATAAATTATTTTATTTACAAATTTAATGACAGCGGACTTGTGTTTAATGAACTTTCGTTCATTTGTGTGCTTTTGTTTTCCTTTCTAGATTTTGAATATTACGTTACGCAGCAACCACAACCACGAATATGTTTTGGTTCTGCACAAGAACGTATAGCGTTGCCATTAAAAGGACCTTGCCTAAGTCCATTTATGCGACGAATGGCAATAGAAACAAGAGAAAATATAGGACCTTCAACATATGAAACTAAACGTGATGCATTTTCTGATGTGACAGACAGGGTTTGTACCTTAAATCACCTATACTGTTTTTCTTCATCTGCATAGATCATTTCTGCATAGTTATTATAGGATTATGCTTATTACATTAAAGAAAGCACCACCATCAGGTACTTATGTAAATAATGAAGTACATTTTAACGCTTTGATTTTTATGGCAGATTTATAGCAAATATGGTTTAGGAGCCAAATCACCACGTTGGTTGATGAAACATGAATATCAGCCTCCGCCACGAGAGCCCCGCCCAAAGACACCTATCAAGCAAAATTGCGCACCATTCAATTCTACATCCAAGAGAAAGGGCATGTTTTCCCCGTCATTGTACCCCGCGTAAGAAACTTAATTTTGTTTCTATTTTGTGTAACAAAAAAAATGTAGCAATAGGTATTTCAGGGTAGACCCTGAAACCCAGAGGTTTCACTATACCTTTGATGAATACGATTCAGAGAATTAATTTTAAAACAACACAATTTGTTTTTTATCGTGGAATTTGAATCAACTTACAAATAATCATGTCTGTACAAATTGTCTAACTTTAATATTTATTTTAGACCCTGTGACTACTGCCCCGAATATATAAAACGTCAGATGAAGTTTGTATACTCTTTCTCCGGTAAAAAGACACTGAGATGTGCTGTACAGGTACGAATATTTTGTACAGATAATCATATTTTTAAAATTTACTATTCTAGTATTATTGTAGTAAGTAATACTTAGTTACTTTGTAAATATTATGATGAGCATTATCTATCTACATTTCCATATAGGTACCTACCTTTTTTATTAATCTTAAAAGTTTGTTTGAACGCCCTAATCTACGGAACCACTTGTCCCCATACAAATATTTTTTTTTTTGGATAATCTATTTATCGATGAAGGCTTATAGGCTATACAACATCACAGTATGATCAATAATGATTGAGCCAAGAGGGTAAACCCACGAGGAAATAGGTGCTAGACGCCTGGCTTCACTGACAGGCAAACGGACAGATAATTCAATTTTTGACGTTTCATAAGTGCATAATTAAGCTATAATTTTATTGAACTAAATGCTTTGACTTTGACTTTAGTATATTAGTGTCGACAACTCCGTTTTGGAGACTCAGTTGCCAAAGAAGAAAAAAAAATAGTATATTAGTATTAATGAACTTTATCAAGGGAATGAATGTTAAAAGTTGTTTTTCAGATTAAATGTGTTCCATATAACTTAGATGAATGTGGATATTGTGGATGCTCATGCTCACAACAAGGCGACTATTGGCAATATGAAAATAGAATATTTTTATGCAGAAAACATTACAATCGTTTATTCAAACATTGCCTGTCCAAATTTCAAGGCGTCAAACTTGCTGAATTTAAGGTAAATATGAAAACGTGAAGACGTTTTGACTTTAAATTCGGCCTTTATATGATTCAATAAATAACACCAATTAATTTTATCTGCAGTCGGTGAGGGATTGTTTCTTCGCACACGCTCACAATAGTTGTAAGGCTGCCTTGAAAATAATGAAGTCTGAAGAAATAGTAAAGAAGTTGAGAAAAGAAGCGTATTTGGATCTCTTCTTCCCACAACGCCGATTTTGTAATAATTAATTTTTAGATGTCTTTTAATGATTACTAGCTTCTGCCCGCGACTTCGTACACGCGATCCTGATATTTCACGTTCCCGTTCTTGATTTTCGGTAAAAAGAAAAAAAAAGAATTGGGTAAAAAGTATCCTATGTCCGTCTCCTGGTTCTAAGCTACCTCCCCACAAATTTTCATCCAAATCGATTTAGCCATTCTTGAGTTATAAATAGTGTAACTAACACGACTTTCTTTTATATATATAGATTATCTTCATTATTATTGAAAATTAACACATTTATAAAAAGCTTCTTGTATAACTAGATAAAGTAGTAATACGTTTTTTGAGACCAGCAACACTGTTCTGAATGGCTCAAACACAAAGAAGTCAAGTCTGGTCAAAATATATCTTTAAAAAATAAATAATCATCTGACTTTCTTCGACAACATTATCATTCCCTTCATATTTATTATTTATTTTGCTATCGAATCGATATTTTGAAGCAAGCGTTGCGTCGGCAGCAAATCATGAAACTGGACTCGAATAATAAAATGATTAATAGCGAGAGTGGCGCTGATTTAGCCGAAGAAGTAGTGGACCCGCGACAAAATGCTGAGGATATTATCGATGAAATACTCGCAGAGTTTACCGAGTCGCGGTCTCCCGAGGCTGGGAGGAACGGGAACGGAATACCTGAGAATCTCTTTAATATGATACAGCCTCCAAGGACTCGTACTCCAGCAAATTCATTCTCCGAGAATGCCACAATAGACGACATAGACCCCGCATCAGATCTCGGTACGTCAATAAGAAACAAGTGTTTGGAACTGGAAGAGATTCTTCAGAGCCTCAAGTCGCGGCTCAACCACGTTGTTTTGGACGAAAATATTGTGCTCAGCCCAGAGGCTAACTCAATGGAAGCGCAACTAGAACACGACCTGGACACTGACTGTCAGGAGGATCTGTCCCTCCAAGAGTTTCTGGAGCTGCTCCATTCGCAAAACAAAATTAGCCCGACAGGAGTACAATGATTGCTCAATGGACCATCCCTATAAACATACCTTTTAAGACAAAATTTACATGAATTTATTGTGTGCAAATTGAATTAGATTTTATTGAAGTGCTATTAAATATTCAGGCCTAATTTCTGTAGTATTATTTATATAAATGTGTAGGACAACAGTAACAAATAAATAAATAACAATTAATACGAAAATATTTATTTCAACCAATAACATTATTATTTATTACAAAGGACAGCCAAAAGACAATAATACTGAATTTAGTTCTTAATTTAAAGTTACCCACAATTTTTTTTTTGTCTCACATCCCAGCATCACTTAAGTATCTAATTAATTTAATCATCGAACATGTTCAGCACATCAGAGCTGATTGTCAATTCAGTTGAGTTAGGAATAGTATCATTTTCAAACAACTGACTTTCTTCGTGGCTGTGCTCATTGTCATAACTGCTCAAATTATTCTCAGCCTTCAAAATGAAACTGACTTGATTTTCTATAATTTGATTCAGTACTTCTGTTTTACCACATTCCACCAAATCAGTTTTCAATTTCTTTATCCAGTTATTATAATCGGTTGGATCAAATTTGATCGATTCCATTCTCAAGTGTTTCATTGCATCCAATGCTTTATTATACTTTCCATCAATATTGTTATGGATCAAGCTCTCTATAGCTTTGATCATTCCAGTGGTTAGTTCTGATAGATCTTTGTTCTGACTTTGAAGAGCTTTAAAGTCTTCAATAGGGTTGATAGTACTGATGCTTTTAATTTCATCCACCACCTCTTCCTTGGTAGGCATGTGAACTTTAGGTATATTTGGAGTGATAGGAGCATCAGTTTGCAAGTTTGGATTTTGAAGTTGATCATTATCCAATAGGAGATTTTTATTCTGCCTTTTCTTTTGTTCTACCTTGGTCAAAGTGAATAAGGTTTTCAATTTCTCCAGAGGTTTTCTGGCATTCTCTTCTAGTAAGGGAGGCACTTTGAATAGAGTCATTATCTCTTCCCTAGGTTTAGGTAATGGTTTGTCTGGGTTCAAGGCTCGGTATGCAATGCAGTCCAGTACATACTGTACCGAGGGGCTCACACACTCTGCTACAGGGAACGCTTCATTGTCATCAAATGTGTCATCATATGCGTTGGTCAAATCCATAGCATTGATAAGATCTTTGAATGCATTCACTTGTTCTTCTGAACATTTGTGTTTTTTTAAGTTAGTTGTTGGAAAAGACATTTGTTTAATTTCTTCTTTGTAACATAAACCAATCATGGAGAGGCATACATAATTGTTAGTATCTATCACAGGCATAAGAACATTCAGTTTTGGCAAATTGTTTGTGTTGTACACTTTTCTCACAATACACACAAGATTCAGTTCATGAAGACATTCCACGAGACATCTGATAACTTTTTGTGCTTTCTTATCACCCTTCCTGCCAAATACATAGGATAAACCATCACCATTTAAGTTTTGCCATTGAATATTGTCAGCTGAAGTGAAACCATACACTGACAAGGATTTAACTCCAGACTGGTACATTAAACCTTTATCAATATCTCCTAGTGGGATAATCTGCTGGCCATAGTGGTGACCAGTTATTTTATTAGCTGCATCAACGGCCTGGCCAGTTTCTTCATTGATGTATTCTTTTGTTTTGGTAACAGATTCGTTTTTGCTGGACTTGCCTGTGATAGAGTCTTTGACAGATTTAACCCAGTTTTTTACTGCTGGTTCATCCCTGGTTCTGATGTATGCAGACACTGGGATTTTTATATTTGGCCCAATACTTAGATCGACATTCCATGGCATTCCCTTGACAAGTTTCTTTCTATGGAAGAGTAGGTCATACTTCATGATGCTATCTATAGTGCTGGTTGCTCCACCGGTGCTGTCAATAAACTGCTTCACTAATTGTACCGACTCATTTTTTTCATATTCTTCAGATTCAATATCTGGACCAATGACATTTACTTCATAGCCTTCATCTATGAATCCATTTAAGACCTGTAATGTTAAGGAAATTGATTTATTGAGTGTAATGAGAGTATAATCTCCTTGTATGCAAGATGGAATATAGCTCCTTACCTCATCAATATTCTCAGGATCAAAAGATGTCTTCTTCTTGAAGTTAGTTAGCAATATGATTTGTTTGGATTCTAACTTGACACCAGAGAGCACATTTTTATAATAGTCCGCTGCAACCATGAGCGCATCAAACCAGTCCCCTTTGGTTTCTGTTGGCTAAAAAATAAATAATAAGTTGGATTATAGTATTCACAGGGGAATATTTTATGTGATTGCAAAGGTAACAAGACCTGATAGCTATTTAGAGTGTCTCCCAGTGGCATAGCATATCTTGGCGGGGCCCCTTATAAAAATTTTGTGGGGGCCTTAATGGAAGGTAATTTCTCAGAAGAGATTTGTTTTACATAATATAATTTGTGTTAAAACCGGAAAACTTTCCAGGTCGGGCCAGACCTCTGCCCAAATTATTGGACAATGATTACTTTAGTTTTTCTAAAGTTTTCGCCATAGAATAGTTTTACTTATTACATGGTTTTATGTTTGACACATGCATTTTGTGATTACTGAAATAAAATATAAATTGAGAAGTTATTTTAGCTTAAATACATTGGAGGCCCCTGTAGTCCGGGGCCCAATGTAATTGATATGGCAGATACCAATTACATAGGCAACGCCCCTGGTGTCAACATAATGTTCTATATATCTTATCTGATAAATGTGGGAAGTACCTAATGAAGCACACGTGAAGTACCTAATTTTAATAGGTAATCGTAAATTTAGAACAGGAATGCTATGGATGGAGTTTAGAAGCAATATGTAATCATACAGTTACAAAAGAATTGCCTAATGATTTAAAGTTATACTGAAAGCCCATGTGATATTTTTAATAATCATGAGAGTATACTCATGATTATTGTACATAAGTAGAATAATTAATTAATTACCTTTTCCGGCAGCTGTCTGATCATTTGCCAAGTCGGAGTGACCATGTCTAAGACCTGAATGCGCTTGAACGCTCCATCAAATTGTTTTGCAAGATTATTATCGGTAGTCTTTGATCCCACTAGGATTATCCCAATTAGATTTTTTCCTTGGCTCAATATTTTACGTTCTATGATCCGAGCCGCGCATTCTCTAGCACTTTGGAAAAAACTTTTTTCCTCCTTTTCGTCCACAACAGAAACATTTCGTCCTATATCCAAGATAAGTATTATGCCTTGAGACATTTTCCAATTATTATTTTTAAAAACTTTATGTAACTTCACAGTTCACGACTTTACACGGACGATAAAAGTATGAAATGGAAGTAAAGCATTGCACCACAGAGTACTATAAATATATATGCACTTCTTTCCTTCCTACTTCATTCGGCAATCATTGTGAATTTGAAAATACAAGTTTGAACAAGAAACAACAAGTTTGACAGTTTTATTTTGATTGTAACTGTCAGATTATTGACAGTATTTTGTTCGTTCTGAAATAGAATGTTGTGTTATTATTCCTAGTAATTTAGTTGAACTAATTTAAAAATTAAAAAATATTTTTTAATAAGCGGTCAAATTATTTGGACTACTTATTAACAAGACGTTATTTTATTTTCATATTCTCATTATTAAATAAATATACCAGATGGATTTCGAAATCAAATGGACCCCTAACCTGAAGAATAAAAAATACATGCTAGGACATCTCTATTTATGTCATTGAGTAGGCAGGCGTCAAAAGTTATCATCGCAATCGATTGTTGTTGTAAAATTGTTTACAAAAAATACAGCAAAGCGCAAAACATTCCATATTCACAATGATAATATATATCTGTCTTGTATCATTCGTTTTGTGGGTCGGTTATAAGTTTATTTAACTCCCTTTCTCATCAAAACTAAAAATGTAATCTAAATAATATCATCATCATACATTTAAATTTTATTAGAAGATGTATTAAAATATCAACAATGTCTACAATTTTTGCTAATAGAAGTAAAATTATAACAGAAATGATGAAGTTTTCATTTCACCATAGAGCTTTTTATTGTTATCTTGGGATGAGTGTTTGGATATTCTTTTTAATAACAGGTAAGAACTATTGACTATAATTTTGTGTTATAAATAAAATACAGTTATTTAGGATTAAATAAAACCAAAGATTGTTTTCTTGAATTGCGTATCTATATGTAAGTTATCGTGAAGATTATTTGTCCTTGCATTATCAAGATAAGAAATTAAGAACAAATTAAATTGAAATATTTAATGTATGATTATTTCATTTGGGAGTTGTAGATAAGGAGCTATGATAACACTCTCTAAATGAACTCTAGCCTCAAAAAATGCGATCATTTAAAATAGTTATAAAACACATACAATAAATGTAGTGGTTTTTCATTTAATAATTTTTCCTACCTTTATTTATAAAAGAGCTAAATACTATGGCACACACACACATTACACATTGTTTTCTATTTAACTGCTCAATCCTCAAGCGTTCACCAGCGACCACCCTCCACTAACTACATTATAGACCTTATTTCCAATATTTAGAGACTACTTTTGGGTATGATACATCGACATATTAAGCAAAATGAATTTTACTTAGCTCCAAAATATCACTGTGGATTTCTTTCCTGTGCATTAGCACACCACAAATAATAGTTTTGTGTTAGCACTGCATCAACAAGGGCTCTGTCGTCAATTGCTAGAAAATCAATGATTCAAATTACATGAATAAATTGGTTATTATAGAAGACAGACATGAAATATTTCACATTTAGAAAAGCCTTAAGCTAAATAAATGTGGTAGGTAAAAGATAGTTAATTAATACTTAAAAGTAATTATTTTTATAAGCTCTATAGAAATATTTAGTACTTGACTTATAATTTTTATAGATATAGAAATATATCATTGAGCTATTAAATTCTATTATTATGAGAATATTTTTTGAGAGAATTTAATTTGAAAGAGAAAAAGTAATGAAACAGAAATTGAACTTTAATATAAAGCAAATGTTATACATTTGTTGCGGAGAACGGGCTCCGGCTCGAGGTTCAGGAGAAGGAACGGGGTGGTTTTTAGCCAGTAAGTGTCTGACACTCCCTTCCGCCTCACCCAGGCGGAAGCAGTCATTCGATGATATTCCCCCCTTAAAAAAAAATGTTATACATTTATATATTTGATATTCCAGTTATGTATAAGTACATGTCCTTGGGGGAAGAGACAATAGCAGCCAAGAAGATTGTACGCAATGAATATTTATCAAAGAGTGATGCCAAGTTCCGGAGGATCTACCTGAGAGCTTGCAACCCTCCAGACAGCATCGTGAGAGGGTCTGAAGGTAAGGAACCCTTCTCTACAAAATATATTTTCAAAATATATTATATATGACTCAAAATGTTAAGAGCCGTTAGAAATGAGTAGCTAATTTAGTGCAGTGCCGTAACTAGCCTTCTAGGCGCCCGGTGCGAGCTTTCGAAATTGCGCTCTTGAAAAATGTCCTTACCAGGCTCTGACAATAAAATGGATAAATGTGCATGAAAATATAACTGTTTATTGTTTACCAAGTTATAGGTCGGTACTTAGTAGATGTTTTAAGACAATTCGTTGCTGCCATTCAGCTATGAGATCGCGCCGGAGCTCTTCCCGCCACGCACTTATCTGGCGCGGCAGCGGAGTTTCGCCTCGGCGACGTGCCTCCGCGCGCATGCGATACACGCACGCGAGCACCTTCGCCTCCAGATCCCACGGCGGTAATCGGGCAAGGACCTCCTTGCCCGATTAGTGCCTTGCCCGGGGAGTCGGCGAAGGTTCGCCGACTCCCCGGAGATCGTGCGGTATCCGCGGATCATTCGGATCGCCATGACCCTCTGTGCCTCTGTGACCACATGAGCAGCGCCCGAGCGGGCCGCCGCATCAGGTTCGGCGCCCACACAGGAGCGCCGTAGAGGGCTATGGACCGCACGACCCCGGCGTATAACCTCCGGCAGGAGGCGTTTGGCCCCCCGATGTTGGGGAGGATGCGCTTAAACGCAGCCCCCGTCGTCTCCAACTTTGGAGCCAAACGTCGGAAATGCTCCACGAAGTTCCACCGACTGTCGAGGACGAGTCCCAGGTACTTCATCGTCGTCTCGACGCCGATGATAACCTCTCCCGCCGTTATTTGGGACTCACCCGGAGGTGGCGCGTTCCCGCGGCCATGAAAACACATAGCCTCGGACTTGTGGAGCGCCACCTCGAGTCCCAATTGCAGGATTCTCTCAACAACTGTCGCAACCGCTGTCGCCATTAAGTCGGCCGCCGCCTGGTGCGACCTCCCGTGCGCTAGCACCAGCGTGTAGTCGGCGTAGCATATGATGCTAACGCCGTTCGGGAGATCGGTGCGCAGCACCCAGTCATAGCCGATGTTCCACAGGAGCGGCCCCAGAACCGAACCCTGTGAAACACCTATGTGACATCTCTCGGCGATTCCACTCGCCCCGGTGACCGGGGTAAATGACGGACCTGTCCGTCAGGTAAGCCTCGATTACACGACGGAGGTAGGTAGGCACTCGATGATATCGGAGTACCTCCAAGATGCAGCTCCAGGGCAGGGAGTTGAAGGCGTTGGCGATGTCCAGAGACACCGCCACAACGACCTTACCCCTGGACACTGCAGTCCCCGTCCCCGTCCGATCCCTAACTCGCATGATGGCGTACACCGTGGAGAGCCCTCTGCGGAAGCCGAACTGGCCGTCCGACAGGTCCGGCCCAATGTCCGTCAAGTGCGTGACGAGGCGGTTCGAAATTATTCTTTCGAAGACTTTCCCCACCTCGTCGAGCAGCACTATGGGCCGGTACGCGGACGGAAAGTCCGCAGGGCGCCCCGTCTTCCGCACGAGGACCAGTTTACCCGCTTTCCAGAGCAGCGGGAACTGGCCTCTCTCCAAGCATGCGCTGTAAGGACCGATTAATCGAGGCCCGAGAGCCTCTGAGGCCAGGACCGATGCTTTGCCATCTGGTGCACCGCCGCTCTCAGTTCTGCATCGGTCACCTCTGAGACGATGTCGTCGTCGTCGTCGCTATAGCCCGCGTCGGGCACCGTAGGGGGCGGAGTCATATACGGAGGGGTGAAGCCTCTCCACAGTCGGGGGAACAGGGCGCCAATCACCTCTTCTAAGAGTCCCTAAGGGTCTCTGTTTAGAGTCCTCAGCATCTCTCGGCGGGCCTTCGCCGCCCTGTATCCCTCGTACAACTCCGCCTCTCTCGCCTTCGCATTCGGAGGACGGATGCGGCGCCTGCGGTGTCTAGTGTACTGGCGTCGCGCAGCAGTGCACGCCTTGCGTAGATCTGCCAGCTCTTGCGACCACCAGTACACCTGGCGCAGATGATTCAGATGACACAGACCTCCCCCTCCGTCCAGGCCCAAAATCCTGACATCCAGGCATTTAGTGGGCCTGGACACGCGAGCCTTGTTCTCACCGAGGCACGCCCTAAGCCGCTCGGCCAGGGCGTCGGCCGATAGGGGGCTGGTCGCGTCGGGGACCTTGTCTGATAAATTATGTAGTGAGTCGTTGGAAATGTGTTGTTGATTCAAGATCGTTTAAAAATGCGATACAGATTTAGATAGTACAGTCTGGTCATTTCTGCGCCCCTCCAGGGTCTGCGCCCTATTTACGGCGCTGATTTAGTGTAACACTTTCTGAATTGTTTGTCGCACAATGCTATTCGTGACTATGGGCTTCCTCTGTGGATTGAAACTAGTTGAGTTGCCTAATGTAATAATTGCGTCAATGAGCCGTAGAACATAATCAATTTCTTAATAAACACTTTTTACATTAAGTCCATATTGTACTTGGATCTGGAACAACCAATTTATGGATTGCACAAATATTAATGTTATGTTGGTGGATTATTAAATTATAGTCGGATTTATTTTACTTGGATTTATTATAATAATGTGCAGGGCGCACGACGTGTACACACACTAGACTATGACGGGTGTCGCGGAGAACCTAATGGGTAACCGGGGCTCCGGCTCGACGTGCAGGAGAAGGAACGGGGTGGTTTTTAGTCAGTAAGAGTCTGACACTCCCTCCCGCCTCCACGCGGGAGCACTCATTCGATGATTATCCCCCCTTAAAAAAAAGACTATGACGGGTAGACAGCCACGTTAATAATGAGTGCCCTACCTTATATAACACATTATAGTGAGGGGGCCACTACTCACTAATTAGTGATGTTGATACAGACTAAATATAC